CCCCAAAACCCCAAAACCCCAAAACCCCATCAAGCTATTTACATTAAAATTCTAAAATAGGAATATTTAAAATATCTGAAATATAAAGTGAAAATAATGTCAAGATAGTTTATTGAATATGCTAGTTTGATCACTGTTTATATAATTTGACTTTCATTGGGTATACTGGCTCAGCAAAAGCACCATTTGGAGGTTTCCTTAATTTGTGTTCTGGCTTAAGAATCTCAAAATCAAGTCTGGAAATAATCAAAGGAGCTACACACTTGATAATATTTTCGGCAAATGTTTTACCTAGACATATTCTTCTACCTCCAAGGAATGGAGTGAAACTACCAGGCTTTCTCTTTTTGCCCTCTGCAGTCAAGAAATACTTGGAGGAAGGATCAAATCTTTCAGGGATAAATTAGAAAGGATCAGGCCATTCATTAGCATTTCTCTACAACCCTAAGAAGTGAAATAGTATAGGCGTCCCTTTAAGTATTTTCTTTCCAAGAATCTCAATATCCTCTTTTACAATCTAAGGTGTACATTTTCTAATTGGAGGTTCAATTCTAAGATTTTCCTAAACTACCAGAAAAAGATAGTTCCATTAGTTTTATATTTCATCTAGATTGAGCTTTTAAAGCCAGTCTTCTTTTGAAATCTAGCTTATCATTTAATTCTTGCCAAAAATGTCTTTTATCTCATTTCTAAGATTGGCTCTGATAGAATCATATTTTGTGAGGTAGAATAACAGATTTGAAACCGCAGTTGTTGAAGTTTGAGTTGCAGCTAACATGAATGTACAGCATTCATCGATGATTAAGTTATCATTATCTTTAAAGAGATCATCTTGTAATAGCAAGTTTAAAAAGTCATGGTGAATTTCTTCAGGCTTAAGTGCCTTATTTTTTTCTCTTCTCATTTTTATCATTTCAAAAATGAATCTTCTCATAGTTATTTAATTCTATTCCAATTCCTTCTCATCCTTCCCAACAAAATAGTGGTCAAGAAATTCAAAGTTAATCCTGAAAACGTTATTAGATCTTAGTATTGATCCAGCTGAAATTCTGTTCATGAAAACCCCTTAACTAAGTTGATCAATTTTTCCCTTTTATTTGAATGGGAGCATTTCAAGGTGCTCATCAACTCCAAAGATACAAATCTAAATTGATTTGAGAATGAGCTTTCCTATATATTGATTCAAGTCTAGTTCATCATTTCCCAGATTAATCTGCTAGATAGTCTCTTGAACCATATCATAGGTTGAACTAATGATTGAATTTAACTATGATTGCATTTTATCCTTGTAAAATGCTGAAGACAGATGTTTTCTTTTGAGTGCCTATATTTCATCTGATGCAGTAAATAAGATAGATTCTCCGAAAATCTTTTTATTGATATGATAGGATCTGGGAAATTTATCAAAGTATTTATTCTTTGTAGTGAAGGATTCAAATACAAAATCAGGATCAGTAATCACTAGCATTCCTTTTGGAAATCTGAAATCAATTAAATAGGAAGGAATATCATCTTTAAATACATGTTTGAGATACTCATAGTGAGAATCCTCCCAAAATTCATCTTGCTTCTTAAGAACTTTAAGAAAGGTAAGCATATCTCCTAAAAACGGCAAAGGTAACCCAGTCGGCTTAAATCCTTATTTTTTGTAGTACCAATAGTTGTAGTAAACAAGAAAAACTCTATCGTATATAGCGTACAAAGTCAAGAGAATCAGAGCTATTTAAATTATCATTGTGCCGAATCTTTACAATTATTTTGAATATCTGTTTTTTATATATTTTCTATATATGCTTAACCTCAACTAAAGGGGTTTTGGGGTTTTGGGGTTTTGGGG